AAAAACTACAAGCACACATATAATATCTAGTGTCCTACAATATAGTGAGCAAACTCACCTTAATCTGTTGGCAGTTAAGTAGATGCTCAAACTGTTGAACCGTAAAATCCCTGGACTAACCAACCAAATAAAACCCTAACTAATAATTGGGTCATAAATCATAATCAGGACTTTAATTAATTAATCCCGAATCCAAGGGTAAAAGACCATTTTAACCTTCCCTCAATTTGCCCAAAAATCGTGGCCCGAACTCAATGGTACAAATTCCCAACAATAGCCGAATTCCTAATGGACACTGAAAGCCCAATATGGGTCCAAATCCAAGAAGGCTCATGCCCTAACTATGGCCCATAATCAGAAAGACTTGTGGCCCAACAAAGGCCCAAAAACCTAAAGTCCAAAGATGGCCCAAACCACAAAAGCCATGACCAGGTCGTGAACGCTAAGCGTACCTGATGTACGCCCAACGTACTTGGTGGCTATTCCTGATTGGGGATTTAGATGCGTGCACGCAGTGTACGCTTGCGTAAGCCCGATATATACCACCTATTAAGCCATTTTGTCATTAAGTCCTTATTGCTTAAGATCAATGTAAAAATTTCAGATTTAAGCCTTGTGGAACATCTTAACCCATAAAGTCATTAACTTGATGCCTTTGCATGGCTCAAATGCACTCAAACCCTAGATTTATCATCCTACTTTCACATAGTGGGCATAAACTCATGCATGATTGATCCTCAACCATCAAGATGCTAACTTTATAGACTAAGGACCTCATAAAGATCAAGAGGAGTAACTCATAACTTCTAAAGTGGTAAAATTGCACTAGATCTCATTCATGGGATCAAAAAGTGTCCAAAACTCAGAAACAACTAGATCTATGCATCAAATGAGAAAGGTCCAAGATTTATACCTTAATGAAGCTGGAAATGACGAGTGGAATCTGGATGTACAAGCTCCTCATTGATCAAGGCTACATCTCCAAGCTTCTTCTTTTTGGAGTTAGACTAAACGCACACAAATGTCAACTCTCTCTTGAAATGAGCTAGGGTTTTGAAATGGGACTCAAAAGGGAAATGGAGGATGGTAATGAGATAACCTTGGGTCATAAGGCTACTTAAATAGGGTGAAAACACTAAAATTAGGGTTTGTCCCCTGATTACGTGCACCTAATGTTCAGGAGGAACACCCAATGTACACACCCTTCTCCAAGAATTACAATAATGCCCTAAGGACCAAAATTGCAAAATAATTACACACCAATGGTCCAAAATGAAAAATACCTTGAATCAGGTGTTACATAAATATTATTATTATATTAAAAATAGTGTTTTCTAAGGTTTCTTAAGCAGATATATATTAGGCTCCATATTTTTGTCCACTTGATACCTGAAGGAAGAGCCGAAATCTTGCCTCCCTTCTCCTTTCTCTACTTGTCTTCTAGTTTCAAGGGTTTTGGTATAAACCATTAGAGGGACAAAACTTTTAGTGATAGCTTCTCAAGATCTACAAGGAAGTATTCAAGTAACTTTTGTGCTATAACAAGTTTGAGGTATGTAACCCTAACTTCATAATTTCGAATTAACTAGGGCTTGATTTTGATATTTAAAGTATGTTGCATTCAAAGTGTAAGACATAGATCCTTTTAGGTTACATGTGCCATTTCTTAATTGTTAAGTGTTTTTCCGCATTGAGAATTTTGTTGCAACCTAATAAACCCATCAAACATTTCGGGAAAAAAACGATTAGGAGGTTTCTTAAGAAAACTCCCCCTTTTTATAAGATCAAGGATTCTTATAACGGAGTGACAGTTCCGAAGGCAGTAAACTAATGATTGAAGATATGTTTATAGAATCACTACATAACCTTTTAGTATAGGTCATACTTATCCACTTTTGGAAGCCTCGATTGTTATAGTTAATTCGTATCCTTATTACTAACAATTCAAACTAGGGGGACACAATGAGTTATATACACGTTCGGTCATATAACTCCACTTGGTGTAACTGAGTTGAATCACTAGTACGCCGATCAAATAGTTCAAACCTAACCCTCGCAGTTACTTTGCCAAACCGAAGAGCAAGAGGCCGAACCATTAGGGAGCAAGATCAGTCGCAAATATCAGCTGTCAAAGATTAGACGCATGAAACCTCGATATTGTCAACAAACAACCTATAAATTACCGTTGGAAATTCTAACAGTTCACTCGTTCCATTGGAAGTGACTGCTGACCCTTTCTAGGTACAACCTCTTTTACCTTCGGCAAAGGAAGCATTAATGGCAACAAGACAGCACATGTGCAGTCTAGCTAGGAAGAACGTTTCCCCATGAAAGAACTATAAAGATTGAACGAAGCAAAGAAAATAGGTACTCAATACAAACTACAACTTACAAATTATAACGAAAAGAATATTCAATTGATTAAATTAATCATCGGAGCGTTCTCCCTGGACTCTTTCCTGGTGAATGTCTTATTGTTTGTGTTGCTTCTCAGGTTCAGAATCTCAACTTCCATCAAGAATATCAAGGTCAAGCTCGGTTTTAAGGCTAAAAATTCTGAGATGCATCAATGTGTAATAGAGGTCTAATGGAAAATCAATTTGTACACTTTATATAATATACTTCCATCAAATAACCTTTTGAAAGATAGGGTACCATTTATGTAATATTAGCATAGTTATTATCACTAAGTGTAAAAATAGTACATTAAAATAATTATTACATAAGTAGTCCGAATGCCACATTTTAGTGAAATATTCTAACATATATATAATATGATTTTCATATAGTTACCAACCCACAACTTTTTCAAATACCACTTTGATCATTTTGATTTTGAACTTTGTAAAATATCACTTTTACCCCCTCGACTTTTTAAACTTTCGAGTTTACCCCATCCACAAATAGTTTTGCCCATGGTTCGACCTTACATATTTATCTACGGAGAAATACAACGGTACTTAACTCTTATCAATACAATCGTTAAAATTCAATGTATAAAACGTATTGGCGCTGCCGCAACGCACGGTTGCCAAAATACTAGTTTGCTATAAAAAGATAACATCGAAAATGAATAGAATTTCTATCATTCTAGACGTTTTATGTAATCTTGGAAATAAATACAAATGTTTATTTATATACCGTAAAACTCTTAATCACAATACATAATATTTATAAAATTATTTGTTGATTAATTTTCTTCATAAGTTGGATAAAAAATTAAACTTGTTTATGTAACTTTGATTTTCAGCCCCTTAATTATAATCAATGTCTTCTGCACCTGTGTGACGATCTTGGTTTAGGCCTTTCCAGCGGCAACTTGTGAATTACCATATAATTTTGTTGGTTTTTATATTATGGACTTCAAATGAAGTTTTATTTATGAACATATGATAATTTCTTAGAGTGACGATCTAGCTTTAGGCGTTTCCAGCGGCAACTTGTGAATTACAAAATAATTTTGTTGGTTTTTATTAGGATTATGGTCTTTAAATGAAGTTTTGTTTATGAACATATGATAATTTCTAAAATGTAACATAGTTATTTTTACACATATATAATCATTTATGTTTTTCATAAGTTTAATCATTTATGATTTTTACTTTGTACATATATAACGATTAAATGTAATGGTCATATATATACAAAATAAAAAATATAAATAACTAAATATATACAATGAAAAAAAAAAACTATAAACGATTAAAACTATATATAAAGTTAAACAAAAATGATTAAATATGTATACAATTTAAATTATGTTGTCATGTTAAGTTATTATCCATTTCTTATAATAAATATAAATTATTTTAAAAGTTATGAGTTCCGATCTTATTAATGTATGATTATGCGGCATATTTTGGTAAAAATATAATGAATATAGTGTGGTTTCAAACATATTTTGTGTCCGTGCTTGAAGAAAAAATCTCCTTAAAATCCATAAATTTCAAAAGAAAATTAGTTATACCAGCTTTTAAAGATAACTTTTTGGATTATATATATATATATATATATATATATATATATATATATATATATATATATATATATATATATATATATATATATATATATATATATATAAATCCTAAACTTTACGGAAAAAAGTTTCATTAAAATCTTAAAAGTTTGTTTGAATAAAAAAATCTTATTATTTTGAGAAAAATCATAATTTGTTATTGAATAGTCCAGTAGAATTGATGATTATCATTGAATATATAAAGGGTTATGAATGATATTATATAAATGTTTAATGGATAATGTAATAATCCATTGAAATTTATAGAGCTTAATGGATTGTGAATATATATATATATATATATATATATATATATATATATATATATATATATATATATATATATATATATATATATATATATATATATATAACCGACGAATTGGATGGGTGGTTACATACAAAGCAAGTAGCTGGGTGCCCTCAAAGTGAGGGATCGATTGTGGGAATTTTATTTTATTTAATGGAAACAAGTGAGGTATTGTGGGATTGATTAGATGTATTATAATCCTACAAAAGCAGCTATGTTGGGAAATTAGACAATGTTAGAATTTAAGAATTAAAACAATCCAAGTCTACTAAAGATAAACGTGTAACTGTTATATTTATTTCTTTAAGTGATCATGAAAGTGACACGTTTGAAGTTTGTAAAGCAACAAAGCTAAGTAATATTTTCTTTCCAAAATGGTTCTCGATCGACATGCAGTTATTAACACTATGAAATCTGAAGTACGTATGTAGGGAAAAAGCTATATGTATCATTGTCTCATTCGAAAAAAAAAAAATGGAAAATAATATATATGTTTTAGAAACAGTTAGAAAGAGAAAAAAAATAAATAATGAAAAGAATTTAAAAAATAAATAAATAAATAATTAATTAATTAACAAAAAGATATTAAAAAAAAAAAAAAAGAAGAAGAAGAAACGTACAAAGGAAAATGAGTGATGTATTAATTAAAATCATGTAAACAATCATGTGTCAATATAATCCTGAATTATATTTAGACTATAACATTTGATGGATGATAATAAATCAAGTTAGACGCTATGTACTGATGATGATCGTCAGCAGCCTCAACTCTATCTTACTATATATAGGGGTCACTTTACCATATCTTATGCACAATTCATCACGACTAACACCAGACATATAGAGTGAAAGGTAGCATATTTGTTAAACTGCACTTACTTTAGGAAGAAGAGCTACTCCTGACTAACCAATATATAAAAGAAAATGGCTAGGATCAACATGCTTCATCTCACTCTTGCTTTTGGCCTTCTTGGTATATACATGCCACTTGTTGCCTTCACTTTTGTGTTCCACTCTCCTTTCCTTTGTATATTTACGTGCATGATGCTCTTGCTAACATATTGCTATTCTCAAACTTGCAGGAAATATTGTCTCGTTTATGGTATTTCTCGCACCCATGTAAGTCTTGTTACGTTCTCACTTATTAGTTTAGCCGCTTGGTAGCTAGGTTATTTGCTAACTCTCAAGAAAATTTAATGAAAATGCAGACCAACATTTTATAAAATCTACAAAAAGAAATCGACAGAAGGGTATCAATCAGCGCCTTATGTGGTGGGCTTATTCAGTGCGATGCTTTGGATATATTACGCATTTCTCAAGACCAATGTCATGCTTCTCATCACGATTAACTCGGTTGGGTGTATCATCGAGACATTGTACATATGTTTTTTTCTCTTCTACGCACCAAAGAAGGCTCGGGTACGTGTTAATTTTCACTTAATTTACTATGAAATTTTACGAATATAGTTATCATCAAAGAAGATCATTAAACACATTTAAACTTATTTTTGCAGATGGAAAGTTTGAAGCTAATCATATTGCTAGTCGTAGTTGGATTTGGATTAATTGTTTTCTCAACCCAGTTCCTTGTAAGCGGAGTTAACCGTGGGGTGATAGTTGGATGGATTTGCCTTGTGTTTTCTTTATGTGTTTTTGTAGCACCATTGGGAGTTCTTGTAAGTATATATATGCTTGCATAAATACCACATATTAAACTTGTTACTCTAGAAAAAATATTAGCACTTCAGACTTATATATTCGTTAGTATATGTATGTTATGTACGTTTTAATATTTCTTCACATTATTTTTCAGCGAGAAGTGATTAAAACAAAAAGTGTAGAGTACATGCCTATTCTATTATCAGTAGCACTTACGATTAGTGCCGTAATGTGGTTCTTTTATGGTCTTCTTCTAGGTGACTTCAATATTGCGGTATGGAAAAATCTAATTCATCCTGATAACTCGTTTTAACAAATATTACTCCGACTCTAACGGGTTTGAGAATGACTTGTTCTTATATACAGATTCCAAACGTACTTGGATTCACCTTCGGTATTATTCAAATGACATTGTATTTTGCATACAAGAATAAGACGCTCATTACCAACGAAAAAGTCTATGATTTTGAAGACAAAACTTATCCTATGAGTGAAATGGAGGAGCAGGAAATAAAAGATCACAAAACGATAAATGTGGCCAAACTCAAAGAAAAAGAAAATGATGCTGGTCACGTAGCTGTTGAACTTCATGCAGACACAAGTGTCCCGAATCACATCATTGAAGTCGCTGTATGAGATCGAATTCTATATAACTTATCATTTTCACTAGGAAAAAACAAATGAGCAAATGTGTGGTTTCTGTACATTCCCTAGAAATATGTCTACTTCGCTGCACTGAAATTAATGTTCATCAATATAAACTTGTTTGAGGTTTCAAAATTCAAACTGTCATAAATGTCACAAATCTCTTGGACAATCTAGAATTGCCTCGTCAAGTTGATAAACTAAAAACTTGTCCCTCGCGCAGCCGCGATCCATCATGTCCAACCATTTACTACACACACAAAAATAAAATAAAATAATAATAATAATAATAATAATAATAATAATAATAATAATAATAATAATAATAATAAATATGTTTTCCCACAAAATATAAAAAATCAATTTAAGTTATGCACACACCACAAAATAAGGTGTAATATTACATAACACGACACCACAAGGTTTTGTCTGACACGACACGATACGATAATGTTTTTTATAATATGATCACGACACGACACAATATCGTACTTTTTTTCATTAACACGAAAACAAACCAACTAAAACACGGCAATACGACATGACACGAAAAAGATAATATTACATAACTATTAGTGTATTTCATTCATAATTAAATATATATAACACGATAAAAACGAAAAACACGAAAAACCCAACAACCACATGCTTAATCGTGTTAATTTCATGTCGATTTATGAACATGAACACGACACAACACGAAATCGTGTTTTTTAATCTTGACACAAACATGAATTCGAATTTTGATTTCATCCTAATTTTGTTTCATTTCGTACATTTTTGTCGTGTCGTATCATAATTTGACACCCCTACCACACATGCATATCTTGTGTTGATGCTGATGGGCGCTGGCCATAAGACGTCAAGAATCTTGTTATGGTGGATTTGGTTTTCCCTTGGAGCAACAAACGGAAAAAACACTTGTAAAATCATAAGTATATATTCCCTTTTCTCACTACAAGAAAATCTGTCTAGGACACAATCCGTAGGTCGATACTTACGGAATTGCAACACAAAATGAGCTATAATATAAACGCTCGTGCGTAAATATTTCTAACGGAATAACTACGGAATACCGACGAGATTATCCGTCTATAAAGTATTGACAGAATAGCTAGAGAAATAAATAGCTACGAATTTCATATGGATTTCCTATTGGACTTACTTTGACTTACATTGACTTTATCACTTACGGATTTCTGACATACCTACAGATTTTCCGTAGGTATTCCGTCACTACAATCTATTTTAAAAAAAAACAACAATTTATTTTTTTAAAAAAATTATCACTTAATTCTAGCCAAAATGAGGTAAAAATTCATTAAATTAAACTACAAATGTCAAACACATTATTAAAAGTTTAACACATTACCAATAACTTTATTTATACATTCAAAATGACAAATACATTGCTAAGTGTTAAAAACATAAAAATTGAGAATCATTTGGTGGATTACCAGGTGGTTAATGAATTCTCAGGTACAAGCAGCAAATTATTTTTCAAGTTGTTTTGTCTTCGTTGCATTTCTATTTGCAATACCTTTGAACTTTTGCCTGCAACTCCCACACCTAGAAAAATGGTAAGAAAAGCATATATAATTAGTAAATGTCGTCTATTTTTAAACAACAATAGCAACATATGTTACTTTTAATCCATTATAGGATAATAAAAACCAAAACACATTCCACATATTGGTAAAAAAGGGAAAGTTTGTTGTTATTTCCTGCAATTTAACAAAAATAAAAAACTTTCATTTACAAGTATAATGTTATTTCTTAAGTTTTACAAAAGTGTGTTGTTTCTAAAGTATATGAAAATAGCATGACACAAGCATGTGGTAGCCGAACAAAAAGATAAGAAAGAAAAAGAAAACATGAAGAACAAGCACCAATAAGATAAGAAAAAGAAATACTAGAAATATATATACAACAAAATACATTACTAAGTAAAAAATATACCAGGAATTCATTTGTGTGAATTAGTTTTCTAGGAAAGAATGTCGCCTACCCAAAAGGAACCTAGAAAATATTGTTAGATTAGGTTTCTAAGCCCGTAACTATAATTGATATGTGTTTGACTCGAGAGTAGCATGATCCATTTGGGTTGCATTTCACCAGAACAATCTGATAGGATGGGCGTTTGAGAAACAGGTTATTTATGATTTACCAATATATTATAAGTATAATATATTCATTGTGAAGTCATATAATTTAATTAGTATTGATTAAGAATTACTTTTGTAATTAATTTAGTGATCAAAAGAGACCAATTAAATTAATGGGGCTAATTGTGTAACTTAGTGAAACATATAGATTGGGCTATTGATCCATAATGGAGTAAGTTTATGTTAGAATCCATAAAGAGTTAGTACACATGAGTTATAGATCATCAGCTTATATGTATGGATTAGGGTTTATCCATGACCCTTGGAATCCTACACTATATATATATATATATATATATATATATATATATATATATATATATATATATATATATGTTATCCCATCACCTAAAATCGGATACTAGTGTTTTTATAGATCATATAGCCGATTTTGTGTCTAGAAATCTCTCTCTCAAGTCCTCCATTGTTGGTGTTGTTTGTGTGGCATTTGAGGCATCACACTTGGGGTAGTAAGCTTTCAAACACCAAATATAACAAGCTACAATAAGAGGTAAACTATCTAACTAGTTCTACTGTTCAATTATTAAAATTTTGTATGCTAATTTAGGCTTCATGCTTTGGAAACAATATTGCATGTATAATTTGAGAAAACTTAGATCCAAGGCATTAGAGTTGTATGTGCACCATAAGGTTGTTATTGTATTCAAAACCCTTCGGTGGTATTAAAGCCTAGGGTAGTTTTCTGTTATATTGTTACATTTTATTATTTTCAAAGCTGGAAAATCTACCAATTTTGATTCTGCATTATCACCACGATGTGGCAATAATTACCGCGATGTGGTGATGCATCTGATGGCAGATTTCATATTTCCTAGCTTAAATTGTATTTGGATAATTACTATAAATTGTTTTGTTGATAAAAAAAAAATTCAATTTTTATGTTATGAAAATAATTAGCCTTATTGAAATAAAAGATAATTGTCAAAATTTAAAGATTAGTGTTAGTTTATATGATAAGCTAATTTATTTGCAAATTGTTTATTTGATATTATCTTGCCTTATGACTTAAAATAGATGAAAGATAAATTATATAATAATTTTTATTAGTTAAAAAAATTGATCTAAATGATTTTAAAGAATTCCATAACTTGTCCTCAAGATATGGTAAATTAAAAGTCTCCTCCATAAAATGCGTTAAACTCATAAGTTATTGACACCAAAAGTTTTGAAGAGTTTCAAAAGTTGCCTTCAAGTTTTGAGATTTGTAAAGTCTCACTTATGAAACATTTAATTCCAAACCCTAGAATTTTAAAAGTTAAAATTCAACCCTTATATTATTATAGTATTAAAAATTTAATTAATATATAGTAATTAAATTTGCAGTTTGCACCTTGCCAAGTCGTTAGTGGAGCGTGTGTGGTTAACCGACACATTAAATTGGACTAACAAGGGTGGCAAAGGGTAGCTCGATGTTTATCATAGATCAATGGAGTGTGTGTGGTAAATCGGCACATTGATTAGGTGGTAAATGACATCGAGAGTACCAAGTATATTTGCATGGTTATTCAAACCTTGTTTGTGATCCTCGATATCCAAGTCACAAACTTGAAGTGCAAAATCGAAATTTAATCATGTCATTGAAAAGTTCAATGAATCTGAAAAGAATATAGGAATTTCAATTCATTTATTACTTAATATTCAATTTCGTTTTTTATGGTGGAAATTGGTAAATCGTCATTTACCTACCTTCAAATATTTTTCAATTGGATTACGGCATCCCTCTTCCGAGTTGTAAAATATTGTGTCGGGCCCTAGCCTTAATATTTCATTTGGGTGTTATGTTAAGGATTATTATCTAATCTAAACTTTGTATTTCTTTCCATATGTCTTCCAACACCACTTCTGGCTCAAACCCTTCTGGCTCTTTCTCTCTCATGAACTTGTGTGGGAGGGTCATCTTTGATGGTTCGAATTTCAATGATTGGATTCAGAATATTAGGATGGTCACTTGTTACAAGGACAAAGAATAGGTTCTCGATAAAGAGCTGAAGGAGATTTATGAAGCAACTACAACTCCTGAAGAAGTTGGTGAATATAGGACTAATGAGAAGGATGCCACAAAAGGTGTCATGTATCATGTTAGCCACTATGACAACTGAAATTCAAAAGTCCTATGAGGACTACTACCCTTTCGAGATGCACCAATACTTGATGGAAAGGTACTATCAAAGTGCTCGACAGGAAAGGTATGAAATCATTTCCTCCATGATTAAAACAAAAATGAAGGATGGAGAGTCCATCACGGCCTGTTTGCAAAAGATACAAAGGTTTGTGGACCACTTGCTGAAGTTGAATGTCAACTTCGATGAAGAGTTGTCCCTTGACATTATCTTACACTCTTTACCTCGTTGTTATGATCAATTTCGTATGACTTATCATATGATAAAGGAGGAGGTCACTCTAAGCAAGCTTCAAGTCCTACTGAGAATTGTTGAAAGTAGTTTGAAAGACAAATCTGTTGTTCCCAATCCTACTGTTGCTGTCCCAGTACTGGGAATTGGACATAGGAAGGGGAAGAAGAGGAAGACCCATACTAAGGGCCATAAGGGAAAGTCCCATGATGGATCCCCTTTAAGTGAAACCAAAGGTGGTTCTACTACTCCTTCCACCAATCTAAAAGAAGCATAGTGCTTCTATTGTCATGAAAAAGGGCACTGGAAGTGAAGCTACCCCAAATACTTGCAGGATGTCAAGGATGGGAAAGTAAAGCCCACCCATGCAGGTATGTACACTATTCTTTCTACTAACTCATCACATGCTAATTATTGGGTCCTTGATATAAGTTGTGGATTTCACATTTGTTCTTATTTGCAGGGATGAAAAAAAAGTAGGGATGTGGAGCACGGGAAGATGAACTTGATCATGGGGAATAAGAAATTATCACCTGTCACCAAGATTGGAGTTTATTATTTATTGCTTAGTAGTGGGTTAGAATTGGATTTGAATAATTGTTGCTACTTGTAACGCCCGTGCTTCTGGGCTTGCCATTTTTAGCAATGTAATAGTCTAGGTTAACCATTGTAACTAAATTTGAAATAATAAAAATGTATT